CTTCTGTGCTTTTGATTGAGCACAAAAAACTGCCCATTCAGCTATCAGAAGTACCCTAGAAAGTGCACAAAATTTTTTAATTTGGCCAATTTTACTCAAAATTGAAAAAAAATATATAAAATAAACACTGTAAACATTCCAGCTACTAAGGCAACATTTCCTCTGTTCATTAATCACATATTTAGGGCCTCTCCTATATTACACTTGTCCTCCATTTTGAATTCATTTTCACACAAATAAAAGTACTATTAACCTATTTCTCAGATAATAAAATATAATCAGAAATGATTGGTCATGGTTTAGGGAGTCCCAGTAAGTGAAGTAAATCTAGTAAAGAACAATAAAATAAACAAGGATCACCTTACCTATCCTAAAGAAAATTGTAAAAAATAAAATATTTCTACTAGTTTGAGCTCAATTTCAAGCTACTTCCAATAAATCTATAAAAAACATCCTAAGCACCTCAAACTTGTTATTTTAAACCAAACTCATCATGCACTGCTTGGTTCAGGATTTTTTCTATACCATGCGCACTTTAATTGTATAGACTCATTCTCTCATGTCTACGTGAAAATTTGCAACTCGCAACTCCTCTGAGGAAGCAGAGTTTGAAATGCAGATCTATATAGGAGACAGTGAAAGGGTTAAAGATTGAAGACGTTCAAAGGAGGCATACATGATTACTGTATATTTAATGTGATATAACAAAAAAATCTCTCTCCTACACAATATTGGCAAATGTCCATCTACACACACTGATAACATTTTTTTTGTCTTCATGTAAGTAGGATACACCAGTGTTGAATGTCTGAAACCAAGAAGAGACTTAAAAGTTATCAGACTCTTTTTCAAGAATCTTGAAATGGGCAATATAGAGTTAATAATGCATGTGAACATATTAATAGTTGCCAAAACTTCCCTAGTAGAGTAAACCAGTAATGAAAAGTTGGAGGAAAAAAATGCCCCTTTGTGGATACTTAAATCTGTAAATTTATTCACAAATACAAGACAAATGTCAAGAAGATTCCATACAAGAAATCTGCAGAAGTCTTTTTTCTCGTTCCACATTTTCATGTCCTCGTGCAGCTGCTAAACGAGCAAGAACTGAAGCTGGAGACATATTTATCTGCAGAAAAAATTATTATTTAGTGTGTCATTTGTCAATAAATAATGAATGCAAATAATGCTTATTGTAGGGAGGAGAGGCAGGACATATTACTAACTGGTTTTACAAACTACTGTACTGTAAAGGTGGAAACTGTGGTGCTGTTGAAGGGACTTTGATTAACCCTTTAATTGTGGGATTCCTTGAAAACAAAAAAAAAAAATCCTGTCTGTGGGAAGATAAAATTACTTTTTCTTACAGCTCGATAGAGTTCATTTTTCTGAAGCAAATACTAAAATGAGTGATACATGATAAAGACTTATAATTTTATGGTGTGTTGAAGTTGGTAGAAAAATGATCACTCATCGGCAACAGAGCCATAAAAGTGCCAGCATCAGTCCCATAGCATAACACCATGAGCTCAGCTCACTCAGGTAACCCGTGAGCAGTAAATTTGGGCCTATACATGAGAGAATGGGTCTATGCGGTAAGTGTGCACCATACAAAAAAAAAAATCCTACAACATGCAGTGCATAATGAGAAAAAACTGTGACTGTGTTTTTGGTTTAAAATGGCAACTTTATTGTGCATTTTCATATGGTTATTATGGAGGATATATTACCAAAATAAAGATGATTCTGACTGGTTTCAAGAGTGGAAGTAGCTTGAAACTGAACTCAAAGTAGCTGGAGTGTTCAATTTTTGCCAATATTCCAGAGTACAAAAATGAAGTCACTTGTCCAATACACTTTCAACTGGCCAGTCTAATATGCATTTAGGAATGCACGGACATTATTTATACAATTAGTATTACAATAATGCAATAAGCTGCATAGCAGTAAATATTCTATTTTTTTTTATTTGTGCGTGTGTGAATAAAAATTCAAAATGAAAAACGAACACAATATAAGAGGCTGGAGGTGTGACTGATGAACAGAGTAAATGTTATTTAATGCCAGAATGTCTGCATTGTTTATTCTGGACCCTATTTTGAAACTGGCATTTCTTGAATTTTGTGTGAAATTGGCCAAATTACCAATTTCTGATCACTTTATTGGGCAGTTTAAATAGTTGAATGGGCAGTTTCTTGTACTCAGTCGACAGAATGGAAGACGTATTAGCAAAATAGCTAAGAATTTGGTCGGACTCACAGGGGATGAAATCGCTGATGCATGAATCCCCGCTGAAGCAGCAAATTCACAATTTATCATCAAATTTTGTACTTTTTGTTTTATTACCTCAGAAAAAAATCTTTACCATTTCATAAGAAAAAATAATTTTTTTTTTTTTTTTTTTTTTTTTTCCGCGATCCTGATAGCAAGCTTGCCCATTATGTACCTCTGTAATCCTTTGACTACCACCCACAGGATGGGTACAGGGTGAATAATAAAGATATTAAACTAACTTGAGAGCAGGTGTCACACTGAAAGGGTTAAAGGTGTATTAGTCCTTCAAACATGGGGGAAATAAATAGCCTAACACTGCTTCACTTGGAATAATCAGTATTAGTAAGGTATATATACAGCCTCTCCTCGCTTAACAACAGAGTTCTGTTCCTAAGACCATGTCATTAAACGAATCCATTGCTAAGTGAGGAGCACAATATAATGGTAGTGAGTTTGTGTCAACCATCTTTCATACTGTTGTAATGTCACCTTTGCACCATTTATAACGTTTCTGGTATACCTTTAAATGTTTATACATTAGTGTACTGTATACTGAAACAAAGAGAATAGAGGAAATCAGATCTAATATGCATTATTTAGGTATGAATACTGGTCAGAGTGCCTGTTGTAAGTCCCGAGGTGTCGGTAAACGAGTACGTTGCCAAGTGAGAATAGGCTGTACTGTATAAATTTTTCATCCTATTTTTTTACTATTTGATCTTCTAAGGCTATGTAAAGTAATACGTGTACTTATAATTTTTACAATTGGTTTAGAGTGTAATACTCCTCAAAACATGGAAATTATTCACATTGACTTTGCTGGGTTATCTTGGCTTAAATATACACCTACCATCCGACTTAGGACAAAGCGTGGTCCCGACCAACCAGTCGTAAGTCAAAATGGACGTAAGTCGAACCTTTGAAAATTGCCGACATACTGGGTAAGGCATAACGTCAAACATTTCCTACCTAAACTACCTACATAGTACTGTAATGAAATGTACAATCATTATTTCATTCTTTTTACCATAATTTAAATTCTATTGTTATATTTTAATTATTTATGTACTATATATAATGTATACATGGTAGTGAACTGTATTGTAAATTTTACATCGCATACAGTAAACATATGTTACTGTTATCTTTATGTATTGTCGACACAGTGGAATGGGAGAATACCACTGGTAGTGTAGTATAACCTATACCTTAAGTAAAGAGAAACAACTCTGGAACATGTGTAATACGTATCCCGCTGGCTGGGTGGGTGGTTGGCTGACTGAATCTCTCTCTCTCTCTCTCTCTCTCTCTCTGTATCACTCTCTCTCTCTCTGTATCTCTCTCTCTCTCACACAGATACACGTAAGTGAAGTTATCATACATAGTATAAATTACCTAGGATAACCCCAAAAATCCAGACAAAGTGCTATACAGTGGTTCTGTGCTCCAGTGCCCTAAATTAATAACAATATTAATAATTATTATTACAATAATACATATGTACTAATATTAATATTATTATTAAACTATATATAATAATCAAAAAA